TCTTTTGTAGAAGACAACGAATTCATTTCCAAGCATATCAAATAATAGCATCCTGTTATTGCAAGGACAATTTAACCTTCCTTAAAGCATATTAACTCTAATAATTTGTATGCTGGGTCTGAAGAGGAAAAAAGCGTGAGTTGTGGAAAGAATCTGGGTGATTTATGCAAGTTTGAGGCAAACATTTGTTTTTCTAAAATAAACGTTTACAGTTTTTGTCCTTTTACATGAAGACACGTCATTTTATAAAACAGTGATAATCTTGTTTTAGCTCAGTTTCTTTTCCCTAGGCACGATAATAACGATCTGAATTGCAAAAATTCCATTTACAATTATTCAGAAGGCACAAACTATAGAAGTAAGGCACACCTAAAGGACTAAATCATGTGTGGCTCTTCAACGATCCTGCTTTAAGCATCTTTATTTAGAACATTCCCTTCATTAGAACTGGGATGACCTGCTGTCAGATTACAGTGCCAAGTCTAAGAAGTTAAATACCATGGACAGCTGCTTTCTAGGCCAGTGGCCGCCTAGCTCGGTACCAGATCAACACCCCAGCAATGGGGCCAGGTACACAGCAAAAGCTCCGTGAGTCGGGAGCGTAGTATACTCAGAGCTCTGAATAAACTCAGTTACTGCTTCACATCAGCAGGATTCAAATGTATCCCTAACTTGCTAAGTGGCCATTGTAAGTAAAGAGCCTCAATCATTTACAAGTCAAATTACTCTTAAACCAAATCTCTGCCTGGCACAGATATTTCTGAACTCTAGCTTACAGCCAGGGGGACTTCTTTTGGCCTGGTGGGTAAGGAGTTGTGCTACCAACCCTTAGAACCCACCAGCCTCTCCCAGAGAGAAAGCATTCTCCTCCCCTGTGATTTACAGCCTCTGAAAGCTCACTAGAGTCCGACTCCACGGCACACAGCAGCAGGACTAACAGTCCATTGGCTGCAAGTAAAATGCTATACAATAACATTTGTAGACAACAGAAACATTTTGGAACTATCCCTGAAGTTTATGGAAATATGTGGTATGTACGTACTGACTGTATATTAATGGAAGTTTATAAATATTATAATAAAGCAAATATTATTGCATGAGTGAGAATCAACCTGATAGCACACAAAACCAACAGGCATATATTGACTGTATGCGAGTAGGGGCTTATATGTATTATAATACAATGAATCAACTAGGCAATACACACAACAACAGCAATAACAACAGGGAGAAAGAAAACAGCCTGTTTAACCAGTGAGTCACTGGAGTGAATCCAATCTTCAAAGAGGGCTTTGCGGTTCTCAAATCTGAAATAATTTCTTCTAATTCATTTTTCATTTAAATAGGGAAGGTAAACAGAAAAGCACTTATTTATTGAACTGTCTCTGAAACAATTTCTTCTAATTCATTTTTCATTTAAAAAGGGAAGGTAAACAGAAAAGCACTCATTTATTGAACTGTCTCAATTTGCCAAGGACAAGGACAGCTGTTGAACACTCACCTCGTCGTTTAATAGTTTCCTCAACCTTATAAAGCAGGTATTTTTAGTCTCATTTTCCAAATTAGGAAACTGAGGCTCAGTGGGTTTTAAGGAGCTTCACTGAGGTCACCGGCTTAATACAGAACTGGGATTAAAGGTTTTCTAGCCTGAGTCAGAGCCGGGGACTGGCTGCTGTGTCATGGTGCTGCACACTTTTTACAAAGGAGAATAATATCAATAAAGGAGAAAGAAGAAATAAAGGCAAACACATAGGGTGGCACAATTAAAGAAACATTATAACTAAGAAAAATATTCAAGTTCACTCTTTCCCATGCACACAGTGGTTCAAGACATAAATCATCACAAAAGAAATCTTATTATTTTTCAACTTGCCCATGGAGTAGTTATAAAGATAATTCACATCCCAGAGCCCAAAAGTCAATAGTCATTTAGCAGGAACAATCTGATGGTTTTAAAATGAAATATAAAATGTATTTCATTATTTTCCCAGACTCCCATTACCCAGAATTATGCAAATAAGACTATGAGGTGACAATGAATAAAACATAGGCTTAGCATTTTTCTCCCTAAATTCTTATACCACACACTGCATTCTAGAAGATTCCACCAAGGGCCACTTTTGCTTGAGGTTTTTTTGCTTAGTGTTTTAATGATGTGAGAACACTTAATCCTATAGAAAAGATGGGGTATACAGGTAGGAGCCAATCCTGCAGGCCAGATAACTCAACTACCACATTCAAGACCTCAATTCTCATTGGGTCACCTTATGCTCAGTGACTGGGGTGCAAAACCACCACAATATTCTGAAGTCCTGTGACGAGATTTTAACTGCTGAGAGAAATGTATTCTTCAACAGTGATTCAAAAGTTAATTTGGCAAGGTGAAATTTCCAGAAGGGAATCACATATCATTATGCAGTGTTCCATCTAAAAATGGATGACTGTGTTCTAGAATTTTGAGGAATATGAAATAAGATACTGACAGACCATAAAAATGGGGTTTTTTTTCTACTTCCATGATGACTTGTAGTTTATTCTAATTATTGAGCACCACCAGAAACAACATGGACCAAATGGAATAAGAGAAAACTGATGCTCAAAGGAAAACATTTTAGAGAATATCAGAAAACGGAGAAAGAGTTCTGAATATCAGTTGCTTTCTTTCAGAATTAAGTAAATCTGGAATTTCCAAGCAAAGATCACAAAACTAAACACAGCAACTGATCCTTTCTGAATTGCTGGCTTCTGAGTTACCTTGAAGATGAAAGGGCAGTTCCCTAATGGAGATGCTGCCAGGCTGCACCATGAATTGCAATGGTTCATAAATTGTGGTAAAGATGTTGTTTCCCACCTACATGAAACTAGTTTTCCCTTACTAAAAGCAGATTACAAAATCCCCTGCAATCTTATCATACAATGTTGTACTGTTCTGCAAAGGCCCTTCTCAAAAATGCTGCCAATACAATCTTCCACCAAATCAGGGTCTACATTAATGATGTTCCCTTGTGGGGAACAAAACAACAACATACTGCATCCTCTATAGATTTTTTTAACCCTCTATCTATCTAGATTATTAAAAAACAAAACAAAACCCACTCAAGTAATTTCCTTGCTCCTAAAAAATTCATTCCCCTTCACAACAATTTGTCTTGGAATAATCACAGACCACAATAACTAGTAGTCAGACATAGGAGAGTGTTTGGGGATCATCTTTGAGCCACCAAGTTTGTGTAGGGAGAGAGGCTCCTATCACAAGCCTGCCTACGAGTGGAAGTATATATATTCAGTTGCCACATCTCAATGCTTGTTTGACATTCTTTTTCTAATTGGTTTTTCTCTGATTACAGTTTCTAGCAAGTAAGTATACACTGAGATAAGTGTTTAAAGAAATGTTGTATAAAACATTTCTCTTTCATCTAAACAGAAATATAACTGGTGGTTTGTGGGGGTTTCCCCCCATCTCTTCTGTACCGCTATCTCACAGCTCCCACAAGAGAAGAAATAATAATGGTTATCAAACTTGACTATAAAGGAATTACATACAAAATGAAGGTAAATTTATATAAGTTATTAAATTCTCCTTCTGAAAAAAATTAAAAAACATTCTATCCTCAACTTGAACAGCTCTTTTTGGCATACATGAAAGAGTAGAAGGAAAAGTCTACATATGTATTTTGCTTTTCTGTTTAAAATCACATTCAGCGACGGCATTCTAATGTGAAGATATAAATCAGAACTGCATGGCTACATTTAGCATACTGTTTGATTGAAGCTGTTAATCCACTGACTTAGTGGATAAGGGGCTGCCCTGTCAACTCAAAGGTTGTTGTCATCGTTGTTGTGAACCATCAGCCTGACCTAACCCACAGCTGACCCTCCAGCAGTTTTTTCAGAGGCAGTAAATCACACAGGAGGAGAATGCCCATCCTTCTCCCCTGGAACAACATGTAGATTCAAACTCTGTGCCTCTGGATCGATCAGCCAGCAGAGGTCTCTCAACCCAAAGGTAGGAGGTTTGAATCCACCAGTAGATGCTTGGGGAAAAGCTGGGTAATAGCCTTTGGTGTGATTTAAAACCTCTGAATATTCAGTGAAGGATGAGCTATGACTCAGTTTCAACTCCATTGCAATAAAGTATTACTTTTAAAGATTCATTTATAGATTTGTAGATCCATTTTTTTTCTTCCTCAGCTTTTCACCACTCTGCTTCCCAGCTAAGTGGCAGGACGTCCAGGATCACCAAAACCTACTGTAAGTATCTTTTGGGTGATGTGCATTATGGGGTGAAGAGTGGATGCCCACCCTGCAGATGCAGGCAACAACGACTCCCTCACCCACTGGCTGCTGTTTCCAGTCAACCCAAATCAGCCCTAATCCATGAACTGAAGCAAAAATCACACAGGTTGTTGGTTGTTGAGTAATGGCCATGGCCTACTCTACTGGCCACTCCTACTGGGCCTCAGGCTGCTAGCACAAAGGCGACACTAACAAACTTTGGGCCTATATAGTGTTAAGGAAATGGTTCTTAGTAATTCTCACACATCCACTTGAGAGAGAGAGAGAAAGAGAGAGAGAGAGAAAAGGCCTCTAATTTGCTAAGCACATACCCACTTATCCATGAAAATCCAATTGCTCTCCAAAGCATTATATAAGCCTAATTCATAAAATAAGAATAAATAACTGCTGAGTCGTCTCTAGGTTGCTTATGCAATCTCTGTGTACATATGTCTTAACTCAGAAACAACAAGCCTGGGGATTTAGTAGATGACTCTAGGAAGACCCCAAATTAATCTTTCCACTGTTATGCCAGTGTGATTATCACAGAACTTCAAAATACAATCTTCTATCCACCACAGCCCAATGCATAATTTTATATTTTTTTTTAAAAAAGCATTGCAGATCTCAAAGCATCACTGCCTAGTAATCATTACACTGTCACAAAGGACGTTAAATTAAGGCCAAGAAAAAAAAAAACTACATCAGCAAGCGCCACCACCAACCTTTGCTTGGGCCTCTGGGGCAGTCACTTTGACGACTTTATTGCGGTTTATCATTTGCTTCACCCATTTTTCTACCTGGACGTTGAATTTCATGAAAACCACGTAGGCGAAATATGCTGTTAAGAGAAGCAAGCTCTCCCACCACTTAATCACATTGTCCAGGAAGAAAATGATCAGCATGATCAAGTCCACAATGTAGAAGGACACATCCCGAAAGAGTGGCCACCAGGTCAGGTTTAAGATTTCTCTAGAAAACAGAGCACACATGCCAATAACAAAGAGGATGTTGAACACTGCTGAGCCCACGATAGTGCCTATACCAACGTTGCTGTGGGCGATAAAAACCCCGATGAGAGATGTGAAAAGTTCTGGGGCTGAGCCCCCCGCAGCCATAAAGGTGGCCCCGGCCACATCATCAGAGATGCCCAGTTTTTCAGTGATGACAGTCAAGGAAGGGACGAAGAACTCATCACAGACGATGGCTAAAGCTATGAACATGTAGATCATGCCAACGACATGGAGGATGATGGCACCCTTTCTTCGCTCCTCGAGGGAAAAGATGTCTCTTGGGTAGTCGCCTTGGGCATGCTCTGTGCTGTTCTCAGACGGGCCTTCCTGAGGAAGAGAAGGCTGGGGAGTGTAATCCCGGATCTTGTCATTTAAATCTAAGAGAGTTCTCTGGTGGTAACTGGGCATGACACCATCGGCTTCTCCTGTGCTCTGTATTTCTGTCTCAGAAAAGGCACTGATTGAAAATGGGACAGTGCTAACAGCCACCAGGCCCAGGCCCAGGAAAAGGCCCAAGATTCGAATCAACTTCAGTTTTTTCCTGACATTATAACGTCTCCTGCAGCCAGACGGTGACTCATCCGAAACCCATCTCTCAAGGAAGTCAACGGTGGTGTGTGGATGCAGCTCCATCCTGGGTCTTCTGGTAGATCGTCAAACTGCAGTCAGCCAGATGGCTCTCTCATACTTTTCCTCGCTGTCCAGTTAAAGGTGCTTGTGGCGCACGTCTACAGATAGACTGCTGGGATTCACAGGAAATATTTTCATCCTTTACCTTTAAATAAAAAAGTAAAGACAAGAATAAGTCAACTGGAATGCCATATGTCTTCATCACAAAAAAAAAAAAAAAAGGCTCTGCCAATGCAATAAAATCCTATCTGTCAGCTGGGCGACCTTGAGTCACTTAATGTCCCTGTGCCTCAGTTTCCCCATATGAAAACAGGGGAGGCAGGGACAGAAGCTACCACTCAGGATATACTCTGAGGAGAAAATTACTGGAAACCTCTGAGTCATTAAAGGTTGGATGGAGCATAAAGTAGGCATCTATGTATATAGAAACCCTGAGAAACATTTTAGCAAATCCAATACTAATAATAGCCTATACAGATGTGTACGAATTGAAACAAATTATTATAGCTGAAAATGGACCAGTTCACCTCACCTTAAATTAAGTATCTACCTCCCAGTGTTAAAGGATTCTGCTTCTCGCAGAACTCTGTGTGTGCTTGACAACCAAGAGCTATTAATTTTGTTTCCCTTTAGTTCAAATAATTTCCAGTTGTAGGCAAACTTTCCTCATCGCCTCCATCATTTGGGAAGGCTGTGTGCTGGAGAAAAGAGGTACTGCAGTTCTTCGTGTAGATGCAAAACTCCCAGGGTCTTATTTTTCATGACACGGTCTCTCATAATCAGGAGCAAAAAAAATAAAAAATTGAAATTTTAAAAATTGTTATATTTTAAAAATTTAAGTTGATAAAAAGCATATTCTGGAGATAGAAATAAACTGTACTCCCTAAATATCTGCACATTGCTTACAAGTAAAGCATGGTAAATTTATTAAACAACACTTAAACGTGTTCATAAATATAAACATAAAGCTTATATATTTATTCAATAGCAACATAGTAATGATTTTATACTTATTTAATAATCTTAAAAGCAAACCTTCCGTTTTATTTAGAATAGTAAAACCACCTCGACCTGGTAGGTGAGCATTACAAGCAGGTTACTTCAGGAGACCAAATAGGTAATTCGTAAACAATATGCAAATCGCAGTAACAGCTCTGTCTACAAAATCTGCTCCCAACAGCCCTATCCTGTCTCTTTAGTGGGTCTGATAAAAAGAGTTTTTCATTCCTTTTCCCGCAGTGGAGAGGGATAAAAGACCTGAAGATGACAGCTGACATTCAGAAGGTTTTTTCGAATGTTTTTAAAAACATCCCCCCTCCCCCCGCCCCACATCAAAGATTGCATTTTAGAAGCATGGGCTGCCATCATTCCAGGTGTAAAATAAGCTCATTAAACACACGCCAGTAAAACACGGAGATTAGCTGGGGCTCAGGTTTGCCGAGCGGAGCCAGAGCGTAAACACAAGTCAAAGGAGGCTGAGTTGCTGCTACTCCTGAGCTAACCCAACCGCATCACAGATTGCCGGCTGGCTGCAGATGTCGATGCTTAGCAGGGACGATTAGGCGGCTCACTGCGCCCGCTCAGGGATGCGCGCAATGCCCGGCCTGGGCTGCGGGAGGGGACCGACCTAACTCCCCGGCGCACGCCCAGCGCCTCCGGGAGCCCGGCTCGCCCAGCAAACCCACCACCCTGCTGCCTGGGACCCGCCTCCGTCTGTGAACTACGCCCCCAGCCGCGCCCCAACTTTGCCCTAGGGGCCCCAAACTTTCCCTGGTGGGTTAATAGGAAAATAAAACTAAATGACAGGCGCCCTACTGCACACCAAAGCCAGGAGCTGGGATGGAGCTTGGGGAGGCACTTGGCCCGCAGCTCCCCCGGCGGCTCAGTGTCGACGCGAAGGGAGTGAAGAAGCGGAGGGGTCCGGGTGGGACAGAAGAGGGGCTGGGGTGGGAGAGGAGAGGGGTCGGGAAAGGGCGTCCCAGGGCGGGCAGAGTTGGCCAACTCGAGTCAGGCCTGGGGCGCCCACCTCTGCAGCGGAGCCACCTGTGAGCCTGCGGCGCGGCGGCGGGCTGCGCGCACCCGGGATCCGCGGGCAGCGACCACTGCAGCCGGCACGCCAGGCGCTGCCAGGGGCCGGGCCGGCGCAAAGCGCGCAGGGGCTACACTCACCGGC